AGCAGACGCTCTTATCCAGAGCGACTTACAGTTAGTGAGTGCATACATTTTTCATACTGGCCCCCCGTGGGAATCGAACCCACAACCCTGGCGTTGCAAGTGCCATGCTCTACCAACTGAGCTACAGGAGGCCTTTGGCATTCTAGTTGTCAATTTGACATCTAGAAATCTGGGGTGAAATCTGATGAGATTTCACCCCATGCTTCCTGAAGCACCTCCCACAAGTTGAATTGGCTTGATGGGCACTTCTTACGTACCATACGTCCAAGCTGCTCCCACAACAGCTCAATAGGGTTGAGATCCGGTGACTGTGCTGGCAACTCCATTATAGACAGAATACAAGCTGAATGCTTCTTCCCTAAATAGTTCTTGCATAGTTTGGAGCTGTGCTTTGGGTCATTGTCATGTTGTAGGAGGAAATTGGCTCCAATCTAGTGCCGTCCACAGGGTATGGCATGGCTTTGCAAAATGGAGTGATAGCCTTCCTTCTTCAAGATCCCTTTTATCCTGTACAAATCTCCCAATTTACCACCACCAAAGCACCCCCAGACCATCACATTGCCTCCACCATGCTTGACAGATGGCATCAAGCACTCCTCCAGCATCTTTTCATTTGGTCTGCGTCTCACAAATGTTCTTCTTTGTGATCCGAAAACCTCAAACTTCGATTCGTCTGTCCATAACACTTTTTTCCAATATTCTTCTGTGCAGTGTCTGTGTTCTTTTGCCCATCTTAATCTTTTGTTTGCGCTGTTCTGTGAATGGAGTAGTACACAGCGTTGTACGAGATCTTCAGTTTCTTGGCAATTTCTCGCATGGCATAGCCTTCGTTTCTCAGAACAAGAATAGACTGACGAGTTTCAGAAGAAAGTTATTTGTTTCTGGCCATTTTGAGCCTGCAATCGAACCCACAATTGCTGATGCTCCAGATACTCAACTAGTCTCAAGAAGGCCAGTTTTATTGCTTCTTTATTCAGCACAACAGTTTTCAGTAACAGTCAGTATCTGGTGTGGCCACCAGATGCATTAAGTACTGCAGTGTATCTCCTCCTCATGGACTGCACCAGATTTGCTAGTTCTTGCTGTGAGATGTTACCCCACTCTTCCACCAAGGCACTTGCAAGTTCCCGGACATTTCTGGGGGGAATGGCCCTAGCCCTCACCCTCCGATCCAACAGGTCCCAGACGTGCTCAATGGGATTGAGATCCGGGCTCTTCGCTGGCCATGGCAGAACACTGACATTCCTGTCTTGCAGGAAATCACGCACAGAACGAGCAGTATGGCTGGTGGCATTGTCATGCTGGAGGGTCATGTCAGGATGAGCCTGCAGGAAGGGTACCACATGAGGGAGGAGGATGTCTTCCCAGAGATTGCCTGCAATGACAACAAGTTCAGTCCGATGATGCTGAGACACACCACCCCAGACCATGACGGACCCTCCACCTCCAAATCGATCCCGCTCCAGAGTACAGGCCTCGGTGTAACGCTCATTCCTTCGACGATAAACGCACATTTGACCATCACCACTGGTGAGACAAAACCGTGACTCGTCAGTGAAGAGCACTTTTTGCCAGTCCTGTCTGGTCCAGCGACGGTGGGACCAGACAACAGGCCTACAAGCCATCAGTCCAGCCTCTCTCAGCCTATTGCGGACAGTCTGAGCACTGATGGAGGGATTGTGTGTTCCTGGTGTGACTCGGGCAGTTGTTGTTGCCATCCTGTACCTGTCCCGCAGGTGTGATGTTCGGATGTACCGATCCTGTGCAGGTGTTGTTACACGTGGTCTGTCACTGCGAGGACGATCAGCTGTCCGTCCTTTCTCCCTGTAGTGCTGTCTTAGGCGTCTCACAGTACGGACATTGCAATTTATTTCCCTGGCCACATCTGCAGTCCTCATGCCTCCTTGCAGCATGCCTAAGGCACGTTCACACAGATGAGCAGGGATCCTGGGCATCTTTCTTTTGGTGTTTTTCAGAGTCAGTAGAAAGGCCTCTTTAGTGTCCTAAGTTTTCATAACTGTGACCTTAATTGCCTACCGTCTGTAAGCTGTTAGTGTCTTAACGACCGTTCCACAGGTGCATGTTCATTAATTGTTTTTGGTTCATTGAACAAGCATGGGAAACAGTGTTTAAACCCTTTACAATGAAGATCTGTGAAGTTATTTTGATTTTTACTAATTATCTTTGAAAGACAGGGTCCTGAAAAAGGGGCGTTTATATATATATATATATATGGGAGGGATGGTAGGGTTAGGGGAAAATAATAAAGCAGGAAAATATATTATTTTTTAAATATATATTTTTCTGCTTTATTATTTTCCCCTAACCCTACCATCCCTCCCCTAATTGGAGTAAACTAATGGACAACAGTACTTAGGCTTCTACTTCCAGTTGATACATACTATATACATTTTACAGACACAGTATATTTTACGTCAGTTCTTTTTATTTTTATTTTTCGTTTTATTTCCCCACCCTAGTTAGCAGACTCTTACAATGCATCAATGCACCCCTCCCCCCATACTAGCATATTCCCCTCATGCACAACATTGCCAGGTAGGAACTAAACTGTAAAAGTAGGCCTAGGTCAAGATAGATGACCGGTCAGTTTCTGTATCCTGTTTCCCCTGCACACTGGAGTCTGTTGTTGTTGTTGTTGTTGTTGTAGCATCACAAGGCACTTTATCCGCCACATCAATCTTTAATCTGCTGTGACACTGCTAGCGTGTGGCATGTAGGTCAAGTGTGTTTGTTTTTGTGTGTGCCCATATGTGTGTGCACATGCGTGCATTTGTGTTTTCATCTGTGTGTGTGTATCTGTGGGTATATGTGTAGCCTACTTTTTAGCTCGATTTAAAGCATTCTGAGGTAAGTCGCTCTGTCTGTCTCAGTATGAAACAATAGTTGTGCCTACAACGTGAGTCAGCTCGGCTCCATAGGCAATGTGCATGTTATGTTCTATTAGAGCAGGGCCATATGGCCAAAAATCCATATTGAGATAAATTGCCTGAATTGATTCAATAACGATAATAGAACGCTAAGTTTATAACATTAATGTGCACCACAGTTTACTTTGTTATCCTTTAAACTACTACAACTAGTTTGATGGTTGTAGCCATCAATTGTCCCATTTAACAATAACCCATATTAGCAAACTTATTTCATTTCAAACTTCACATTTCTCTAGTATAGGCTACTTATCGTGGTCCTCTGTAGCTCAGCTGGTAGAGCACGGCGCTTGTAACGCCAAGGTAGTGGGTTCGATCCCCGGGACCACCCATACACAAAAATGTATGCACGCATGACTGTAAGTCGCTTTGGATAAAAGCGTCTGCTAAATGGCATATTATTATTATATTATACTTATCGTAATGAACGATATCAGAAAATTGCCTGCGATAAGTGATTTGTATGGTCGGTGTCGATAATTTTTGGTTTATCGTCACACCTCTACATGTATGCTCTATTCTAGAACAATGGCTGTGAAAGTGGCATGATCGGACATCATGCAGGACAGAAACGTCTGAACCAGTGTTTTATGTCAATTGTTAAAAGTATAGAAGACCACGGATATACACCTTAGAAGATCATATGAAATGCCTACCACAATCACAATCACTTCGGGATATGTGCAAGTTGTAAACAACGTAATTTCGGAGACTGAAGATGGGGCAGAGGCGTACATTTATTTTACAGGAAGGGAAAGTGAAGTGCTCCATCTCTACAGCTGTGCTCTCTCACTCTCTCAAAATAGACCAACACCTCATCACTTTGATATGGCGATGAAAAGAGAATGAACTACGTCTGTAGGGGTGTGTTCAAGTATAAGAGCAGATTACAAAATTCTGTTGGGTTTGCAAACAAACCACATCCTATGACAGTTTTTGTCAAGAATAGGGCCTACACTTCTCTTAAGAGAATTGATGATGGTCGACAAGGCATTGAAACGTCCTCAATAATACCATCTTCAGTAGCTAGGACTACTAAGATTGCACCTCCTCTGTAGAGTTCTGTTATGGTTATGCTATGTTTTGACATGGAAATTAGAATGTGCTCCAGTATTCTACCGGCAATATGGCTCTTCAGATGTGAGGTATCTTTGGGTGAATGTACAGTTCTGCAATGCTGCTCCTTAATGGGAATTGCTCAGCACATAACATAGCCTAGTTACAGAAAGTGACCCGTTTTAATCCTATGGAACCTTTTGGTTTGTGTTTTGTACTCGTGTATTGATTCGTTATTTCAGATGTGTCAGACTCTTGTGAAACACCAGTAGCACAGGTCCTGAAGTGGTTTCTCCAGAGAGAAGGATGTTTGTGCTCCTGTTCTATGTCCCTCTGAATGAATGAACACAGTTAAGACAGACTGTCCATTCTGTGGTCATGCCCATGCTTGCTTGTTTGTCACTACCAAGATTCTGCAAGGTCCCAGACTAGCCCTGTGCTACTCCGAGTCAGACCTGGCTGAGATAAACTCCACTGCTGTCATTGATGGACCACATCAGAGCCCAGAGCACAGCTCCGCTATGGAAAGAGAATCCCCTTCCTTCCCATCCCCCACTCACACACACACTGTCAACAGAGACCCTGAGATTGTTTAACTCAACAGTGCCACTGCGGTGTGATGGCGGAAATGGGTACTGCACCTTGTTATTTGCCATGCTAGAGAGACTCACTGTAGCAGTGCTGCTGCTCCTGTCCACAGTTAGCCCCCAACAGCAGGTCACCACTGCCCTGCCCTGGTGTGAACTGTGTGTACAGTAGATTGTGAAAGGATTTTTGTACACAGACAATGTGTAAGTGGTAGTGGCATCTTCTGGGAGGAAGTCTCCACTCTCCAGCCCTAGCTTCAGTTCTTACTTAGCAGCACTATGTAGTGTGATTGGTGTAGTGTGAAAATATGTTGCTCTGAGTTTGGATAAAACAGCTGTCTCACCACCTCCTCCCTTCCCTTCCCTCCAGGCCTGTGTCCTGTTTGCTGACCTCATGGTGTAACCAGGTATAAAGATGAGCATAAGCAGTGATGAGGTCAACTTCCTGGTGTACAGATACCTACAGGAGTCAGGTAGGCTCAATCTGACGCTTCAACCACACATTTGGAAACAAACGCAATTTAAGCCAGACAGCTGTCTAAATAATGTACCGTATATTCTCCTTATGTAATGTTCTATAGCTATTAAAGGGTGCCCTGAAAATGTGCACTCTGAGAACAACCACAGAGCTATTTGAAGTGTGCCATTTCCAGAGGCACCAGAGGGAGGGATCTGCTCTGTGTAATATGCTGCCTCCTGACCTGCTGCTCATGCCTCCCCGACAGGGTTTTCCCACTCAGCCTTCACGTTTGGCATAGAGAGCCACATCAGTCAGTCTAACATCAATGGAGCCCTGGTGCCCCCTGCTGCCCTCATCTCCATCATACAGAAGGGCCTGCAGTACGTGGAGGCTGAAGTCAGCATTAATGAGGTGAGCTCATCTCCTCATTCACACAAGTCATTATTATCACAGCATCACATCTTATCAGGGAATCAGTGGACTTTATTACTGCAAGCCCAGCAACTGTGATAAAATGCAGAAATCCACATCAGTTTGATCACAAATCAGAAAGCATATGAATGCAGTGCTAGGTTTCTGCTCTTCAGTTATTATGCAGTTATCAACCAATTTAGCTTTATAATACATTTGCATTATTACATTTTAATAGATGGTTCTCCAGTGATTTTGTTTTACAGAGTTTTATCCTTTCATTTGAGTCACAGGAGGTTGGTGGCACCTTAATTGGGGAGAACGGGCTCGTGGTAATGGCTGGAGCGGAATTAGTCTAATGTTATCAAATACATCAAACACATGGTTTCCATGTGTTTGATGCCATTCCATTTACTCTGTTCCAGCCATTATTAGGAGCCGTCCTCCCCTCAGCAGCCTCAACTGGATTTAACCTACCATTGCTTACAGCTACAGTAGTTATTTAGCAGTTTGATTTGAGTCTAACCAGCTTGTCTGCTGTCCCCAGGACGGTACGCTGTTTGACGGGCGGCCGATCGAGTCCCTGTCGCTCATCGATGCGGTAATGCCGGACGTGGTGCAGACGCGGCAGCAGGCCTACCGAGACAAGCTAGCCCAGCAGCATGCGGCCCAGGCCCCACCGGTCAACGCCACCAACATGACGGCCAACGCCAAGAACGGAGAGAACACGGCCAACGGCGAGGAGAACGGAGCGCACGCCTTAGCTAGTGAGTCTCAGTCCACGGCCCTGGGCTTAGTGTTTATTAACCATAACGTACAGAGAGAGGAAGAGGATAATGTCCCTAAAAAAATGCTGCTATGAGTTCGCTCCTTATGGCTAGTTTGTGCATGTTCTGTTATTTTGAAAATCATTGTTGTGGTTGAGAATGTAATGTAAGGAGTCAATGCCAATACTGGATGTTTTGTTATTCAGATCATGCACATGCTGATGAGGTGCTCTCTGTGTGCCATACAGACAACCATGTAGACTTGATGGAGGTGGACGGGGACATGGAGATTCCCCAGAACAAAGCGATGGTGCTCCGAGGTCATGAGTCAGAGGTGTTCATCTGCGCCTGGAACCCTGTCTCCGACCTGCTCGCCTCCGGGTCAGTGTCTGTCCATCTCTCGCGCGCTCTTCCTTACTGTTACTGCTGACAAGGTTAATTTACTGCCAACACTGAGGAAGCTGAGATAATATCAGTCACTTTCAGAGGTTATTGCATTAAGCCCAAATAATTAAAGTCCTATTTCGATCTGTATCCTGGTTAGAGTTGCAAGATTCTGGTAACTTTCCCAAAAATCCCAGTTTTCCAGAAATGCTGGTTTTAGCATCTGGATTTCCAACTTATTTCTTCCTGATTCCGTGAATCTTCCAACCGGGATGTCTGGAAAACCTGGGAATTATGGGAAAGTTAACATAATTTTGCAACCCTAATTGAATGAATACGTGACCCAGGACCTTTCTGTGTTTCTATTTTGTTGTTGTATTGTGCTGACTGTCCCTCCCCTCCCTGGTGCAGGTCTGGGGACTCGACGGCGCGGATCTGGAACCTGAGTGAGAACAGCACCAGCAGCTCCACGCAGCTTGTACTGAGGCACTGCATACGGGAGGGAGGCCAGGATGTCCCCAGCAACAAAGACGTCACGTCATTAGACTGGAATGTGAGTCAAGGGTCTACACACACACACACACACACACACACACACACACACACACACACACACACACACACACACCCCTGCTCCATGTTCCCCCCTCACACATTCCATAACTTTATTTCCACTTGTGTCCACTGCTCCTGTTCTGAATGCTGTTACTAGGAGCCGCTTCAAACTGCTTTTATATTTTAAATATTTTAATTACTCCAAATATTTGTTAGGTGTGATATTGTTTAGTTGTACTGTGCCCTTGTTATCCTGGCAAGGGAACGTTTCATTGTGCAGAATGATGTGCCTATGCTGATGTTTAACTTAATTGATATGTATTCTACCTCTTCCCCCTGACAGAGTGAGGGTACATTACTAGCAACCGGCTCATATGATGGATTTGCCAGGATCTGGACAAAGGATGGTGGGTTGCCTCTTTTTCCTGCTTTTTCAACTTAACATGTTGTCAGTTTCCGAAACTGTTGCCTCTCTAATATAAATGATTTGAACACTAGGTAATCTTGCCAGTACCCTGGGTCAACACAAAGGTCCCATTTTTGCATTGAAATGGAACAAGAAAGGAAACTTCATTCTTAGTGCCGGAGTAGATAAGGTAAGAACCCAACAGCCTTTTCTTTTTGTTATGAGCTCAAGACTTGAAATGCTATGATGACTCATTCACCTCTTCTGGTATTCAGGACTAAAATAACATTCTGTTATTCTCAGGCGTGTTCTAATTGAGATGTTTTTCTTTGTGTGCGTTTCTCCCTCCAGACTACAATCATATGGGATGCTCACACAGGAGAAGCCAAGCAGCAGTTCCCGTTCCATTCAGGTGCACTGAATTATCCAATGGCTTCTTTCCTGACTCTCCATTAACCCTTACTAGACATGTATCGGTACATACTTACATGAATATATACAGTAAGGGTATTTTTGTGCCGACTCATTCCTAGTTTCTGTCAAGCACAGAAAGAAAGAAGTAGAGTTCTATGTTGTTTATTCATTGCGTTTTCTTCCGCTCCTCCTCTTGTTGTGACTCAACAGCCCCTGCTTTGGATGTGGACTGGCAGAGCAACAACACGTTTGCCTCCTGCAGTACAGACATGTGCATCCATGTGTGTAAGCTTGGCCAGGACAGGCCCATCAAGACATTCCAAGGACACACAGTAAGTCAGCCCTATCACCCCACAGCCAATTTGTCCAGTTTTCTCTGGGTTAGAGGCATTACCTCCTCTGTCTGTTCTGATAACTCTGCTCCCCTCCGCTCCAGAATGAAGTAAATGCAATCAAATGGGATCCAACCGGTAACCTGCTGGCCTCCTGCTCAGACGACATGACGCTGAAGGTAAGATATGAATTAAAACTGTCTAGCTACGTCCAGCACTCTTACACTTTAGTATTGTCAGTGTTGTTGATTACTGTCCCTGTTAAATAAATTATATAAATAGATGTGCACTTTGTAATGTTTTGCTCTGGATTATATACCAGAAATTCAAATAATTCATGTTTAGTATATATCACTCTATAATTTTCTTAGTTTCAATTGTGATGAATACCACTCAACAAATTGTCGACCTGAAAAATAAACCAAGTATAAAACCAACCAAATATTCTTATCTATCTGAACATTCAGCGTTTTGGATAGTCACCATCAAGTTAACAATCATGTAATTTTACCATGCTAGATCTGGAGTATGAAACAGGACACGTGCGTTCATGACCTGCAAGCTCACAGCAAAGAGATCTACACTATCAAATGGAGCCCCACCGGTCCTGGAACCAACAACCCCAATGCCAATCTCATGCTTGCCAGGTACTGTGGGCATTCATTAGTTTGGATGTGAAAGCAGCATTACTGGCTGTGATAACAGCGATGTGGCCCTGTTACAGGGTAATAGACTGATGACTACACTGTTTCTGGGCCAGCCACACTGTCTTTGTGCCCTGAACCAAAACTCTTCACCTGAATTGCCCCAGTTTTCATCCTGCTGAATTGGGGCTTTATGTTTGAAGTCAGCTATGACTATGAGCTAAGTATTGCTTCTGTGGAAGAGGCAGAATCGATTAGTGTTTTTCCTGTGTTCCCTGCAGCGCGTCCTTTGATTCGACGGTGCGGCTGTGGGATGTGGACCGAGGTATCTGCATTCACACGCTAACCAAACACCAGGAGCCTGTCTACAGTGTGGCCTTCAGCCCTGACGGCAGGCATCTGGCCAGCGGCTCCTTCGACAAGTGTGTTCACATCTGGAACACGCAGGTACAGTCTGACACCATCTATCCCGACACTGTCCTGCTATCTGCCTTGCATGGAGCGGAGAACTGTTAGTGATATTACCTATTAGCTTCCTGTAGTTCTATGCAGTTAGTTACTTAGGTCAGTGGTAGTGCTTATTTTGGAGACTTTAATTAGGCTTTCGAATGGATTTAAATCTAAGCAAGCTATGGTTTAGCCTGTGGCTTGTGGTTGTTGATCTGAAACGATAAAACTGTCTTCGCTTCCCTTTCCACAGACTGGTGCTTTAGTCCATAGTTACAGGGGGACAGGGGGAATCTTTGAAGTTTGCTGGAATGCAGCAGGTGACAAAGTGGGAGCAAGTGCATCAGATGGATCTGTGAGTACAAATATTTTAGCATTTTCATATACTTCATGAAAATAAATACAAATGTGTCAGCATAACATTTTTAAGGGTTTATCACTCTGATATATACTGGTCATAATATATATTAAAAAGCCTATCTCTTGTTTTTCAGGTTTGTGTATTAGATCTGCGGAAGTAACACTGCTTGTTGGAAGCCATGGACCGACAATGAATGTGTACATAGCCAAAATAACTGTCCCTGCCCCATGTACTGCTAGTCCCTCTGAACCATGGCCGGCCACTACAGACCAGAAACAAGCACCATTAACCCCGACACAGCAGATTCAGGAGCAAGGACACAATCTGTGCAGCAAATCCTTCCAGAGACATTAAAGGGACACAGACAAAAAAAAACAAAAAAACAAGAAAAAAAAACAGATCCGTATATGTACCAAAATTTGGAAGCTATTTTGCTTTTTGATCTTTAAACCATGCTCATCAAGACAAAAAAAATTATTTTAAACTTTGTTGGTAGTTCAGTCTCTGTGTACAGACATATCGGCTTTCCCATCCTGCGGCAGGCAGTTAGGTTTTTAAAAATAATTTCAATAATTTCAGCGTTTAAGTTAATGTTTTTGGGTCACAGCTGCATGAAGTGAAGGAGTTCTCTTTTTATACACACTCACAAAACAGTTCTTTAAAAAAATTGTCTTTGGTAATGTACGCTTTGTGGTTCAAAACAATATGGGGATTTTTTTTCAATTGTAGTTTTTACTGTTTACATCGGTTGTACTGTTGACATCTAAATGCAGTAGTTTTTATTCTTTCCTCTACAGGAGACATTGATTCTCCTGACTTAATATTATTACAAATTAACATGGGTGCACATGAAAGAAGAGGCATTGTACAGCTGGATGCTTGAAAACCATTTTTATGGTTGGTTTGTGCACCCTCGATGGAGCTAGAAAAACGTTCCATGATTCCCCCCTGGACAAAGCTGTACTGCTGTAGCTATCATGTGGAAACATCCAGTATTGGATCGGTTAAAGAAGAGAAGCAGACGAGTCAGTACCCATGACTGTTCCCCCCTCCAGTGTGAATGATTGGAACTGTGATGTCCACTGGACCTTTCACCACAGAGTGCTTCCACCTGGCAAACTGAGGCCCCTTTTACAACATATAGCAAAAAGGGAAGACTTGCTTTAAGTTTTGTATTCTTCTAATGAAAACTTAGCTGATAATTTCCAGATACATTTCATATTGCTGATGTATCATTTGTCACAACAAAACATCCATTAGGCTTTTACTCAAAATGGTTTACATGTTGATTAGGCAAAGTTTTTCACTCAAGTCCCATAGATGATTTCCCAAACTAGATATTGACAGAGGTTATTTGGATCACAAGCAATGCTGTTTTCAGAGGAAATATATCATCTTAAAGCAAGTCTGGGTGTTGGGCAAGGAATCAGAAATCATATGGAGTAACATACACCATATACATTATTTTTGTGCTGCTCAATATTTAAAAAGTAGTTCAAAAGAATTTGAAGCATATCCTTTTAAAGACGTGACACTGTGTGGTATCACACATTCATGTAAATGTATCTTTTCAAATCATTATGAGAAGAGAATTCCCCTAATGGACAGTAATCAATCAATAGTTGAAATCATTTTTGATGACTTTCAACAATCCTAATTTGAAATGGGAGTAATCTGAATATTCACCAATTACATTCTAGATATCCTGTTAAATGTAGTTTTTTTTTTTTTTAAACAAAGCCGTATGATTTTACAGATGGCAGAATGAGGTTTTGGGTTGATGGAAATGTGAGGATCCAGCAGCAACTGTGATGGCCAGGATTCCTTGTTCCCCTGGTTTAAGACATATGTTAGCGGTTAATTTTTTGGGATATCACTACACGTATAGGGGCAGATGCATGGGCCCATATGAAGCCTACTCCTGGTCTCAAAAAGCACTTTCAATTGAAACATTGAGGATGTTTATTATTAGAGTAGGTTTAATCAGGGTCTGTGCAACCAGCCCATAAATGTGCATTTTATACAGAGTGTAGTCCTTTTAAATCTGTAAAAACTGTCTACTCTAAGTAGATTGTACCATCTGCACACTATTTATTATACAGTCTTATGACAGTGGAAGGTTATTTTAGGTTTTCTTTTATGATAAATCTGCTGTCCTAGTGTCTGCTTTGCCCTTCATTTTCACTACCTGAATTCTAATCATATTCTTATGATGTGTATGTCCTCAGGACATTTTGTACTCTTTTAAAACTTTTGTAATTCATATTTCTTTGTAGCCTAAAGGAGTAAAACGTAAGATTATTGGAGATAATCAAGTACAGTATGGAGTTCCAGTTAATGATTCTTTGGTTCCACATTGCATCATGAGTGCCCACACCCCACCCATGGTTTCTCAAGTCAAAATGTGTTTTTGCAGATTCTCCTTGCATTGCATTGATCTGTTGTAATTTGAACCAGATCTGAAAAAAAGTCCAGAATAAAATATATTTTGATATTTATATAGCTTTTTTATTGGATTTTCCCCTTGTTTATCTGTTTATTCTAAACATGTTCTAAAACCCCAAAGTCAAATGTGTAAGCTAGTTAGATACATAAATATGAAAGCATTATTTGTGGGGAAAGAAGCTGTAGGCAACTTTTCAATACGGTGATCTCAGACATCATGCTGTGGCATCATACCAGTTATTGGCTGTTTTGATGACGCACCAGTCTGTACATTTAAAATAATTGTATATTCTCTGGTTATGCTGTTAAACAATGCATATATTGAGCTGTAAAGACTCCCTAACAGCATGACTGCTGGTAATTCAATACAGCCCTCTGAAAACAATTACATGGAAACAAAACTTAGACCTAGATTCAATCAGATCAAGCGTTAACTGGCGATGGCAGACACCCTCATAGTGGATGTTTTGGTGATGTCGGAGGTGGAACTGCATCGGAGCCATCAAATCGGTGAGCAGCTGCTCTTCCTCCATTGTCACAAAGCCACACCCGCCCAACTCTCTTTAGAAGTTCAGAATAAGAAAGTGTAGGCTATATTGAAATAATGACGCTCAAATTGAAAATCATTAAACTAAATAATGTGGATTTCTATCATCCTAATGGAGGTGTAGATTACATCTCATATTCCAGTGTTCCAACTTGTAAACAAGGCTGGATTTCTGTTAATGCGACTTCGTGCAGCCAATGGCAATGTCCACTTTAGGTGTAATGCCTGGAGCCACTTTTGGATTTGACAGCTAACGCAGTTCCATCTCTGCCACCGCCAAAACAACCGCTATGCGGATGTTGACTAAAGCGGATCTAATTGAATCGAGCCCTTTACAGTACATGAAATAGTTGACCGTAGGAGACATCCCTGATGCTGTTAATGTTCGAGAGGAAGCTGCATGAAGTCCATGAATGGGCAAATGAACACAGCATTGTAATCACCACCACACGGCTCCCAGGCTCGTGGCTACCGTTTATCCTTCACAGTAGTGCTCAGCTCAGAGAAGAGTTGGTGAGGAGAGGTTGGGAGGAGTGCTGTAAATTGTGCTCTGCTATCTCTACGATGCTCTGGATGACATCGTAGGCCACAGCGAACAGGAAGTAAACAGGCAGGGTCCAGTGGAGTTGGAAGACCCGCTGGCCCACGGGCAGAGGCACAGTCAGGTGTCTGGGAGGAGAGGAAGAGATGAGAACCTGTAGGAACTCGTTTTCTGTATCACTGATAAAACAGTAGGCTACTCACTGAAATCGCTCTGATCTGGAGGCTCGCAGCATCACAAAGATGAACAACCCAACTTCAGTGTTCAAAGAGAAAGACACCACTTTGTCCAACATCACCACAAATCCCTAGTTAAAGGGTACACATAAATATAGCTTGCTGTATTATCCTTATGTTCCTACATACCATAATAACTGGTTTGGATACTTGATAAGCATAGCTCATGCGAATAGTTTGAAACAGCAATCAAGCACAAATTCCTACTCTTGCCTAGATCCAGTTAGAAATGAAGTGATAGGAACAGGTGACTCATTTTATTTTGCTGTAGCAGGATGAAGAATGAGGCACTTACCCTTGGATCACACGAAGAGACAATAAAAATGATTCCAAATGCAAGCAGAGATATGAGCCCATTGGCAAGGCTGTCAAGGAGAAAAGACAACATGGATTGTTTGGTTAATATCATGAAATCAACTTAATTAGTAAAAGTAAGCATCCTGAATGCTTCATAACCTTTTCTATTACAGGGGCAGAGAAATATTCTATTTTTATGGGAGTGGTAATGGTCAGCGAGTGAGAAAGCAAACGGCCTGTGAAATCATCTTGTGATGGGAGGAATTCAAAACCAGACGGAGAAGTAGAACTGTATACCCTCTTGAACTGCATCTGTGGAAGCTCTGTGGTAATGTCCTCTCCCAGACTTTAGACATCGATTCCAACTTTGTGTTCCAGTGTGAGTTCACAAGTCCATCAACTGAAACAAAACAACCAAACACAATGTACCTACAAGGCACGAAATCTACAGCTTCTTAAAGCCCTGGGTTTATACAATTGTACATGTAAATACATGCAATTGGTATTTTTCATGATTCATATCATTGAGTATTTTGTTCCCTCTTGACTGGAAAAAGGAGAGATAATGATGCCACATAGCCACATCAATGAAAGGCATAATTGTGCTACTGTGAAACGTGATTTATTGCAGATATTTTGAAAATAGAGATGTTATGCTGAATCATTTAAATTACTTTCTCAGCCTGAGCCAACTTAACATTTAGGAAAATTATATTATATTCATTGTTCATCTTATTTTCCTAATTTTCAGGCCTAAAAACATAAAAAAACAAGTCCCTCTATTTAGCTAAATATGACTATATATTAACATTAATTGTATAACCCCTTTACACAGATAAAACTGACTACCAGTAAACAACCGACTAACAGAGAGTGTGGTCACATAAGTACATCGTATATGAGGTTAGACCTTAATAGCCATTGGTGTAGGCGAGGGATTTGCATGTCAATGTCTCTAACTCATGCTATCAAAATGTATTCCCCCCTCTTCAGAGAACGTTGCCATGCATAAAGAACAGCAGGGATTGAGATGTATTAAGAGGGAACATACTTGTGTGCTTCATGGCAGATCCCATCACCAGAAATGACACTGTTATACTGATAGCAATAAAAATCTGGATCAGCTCTGCCACCCAAGAGTAGTGATGGTACTTCAGACTGATTATCTGTAGAGTGACAACATGACATGTGGTTAGTGTTCTGTAACCTATAGGCATCTATCTAAATCATCCATTCAAAAAGACAGATGGATATTGACACAAAATTAATAAAAAGTAAATGAAACTATGATCTGTCATTATTTTGTATTGGCTCTCACAATCCATACACATATTCAAGTCCACACTAAAGACACACCTCTTCACACAGGCTTACCCAGATTCTCTGTTGTCTTAGCTTTTATCCTCTGTCTAGTCACTTCCCTGGTTAGTCTGTCATCCTGTTTTGTGTTCTCCCTGGTTAGTCTGTCATCCTGTTTTGTGTTCTCCTGGTTAGTCTGTCATCCTGTTTTGTGTTCTCCCTGGTTAGTTTGTCATCCTGTTTTGTGTTCTCCCTGGTTAGTCTGTCATCCTGTTTTGTGTTCTCCCTGGCTAGTCTGTCATCCTGTTTTGTGTTCTCCCTGGTTAGTCTGTCATCCTGTTTTGTGTTCTCCCTGGCTAGTCTGTCATCCTGTTTTGTGTTCTCCCTGGTTAGTCTGTCATCCTGTTTTGTGTTCTCCCTGGTTAGTCTGTCATCCTCTTTTGTGTTCTCCCTGGTTAGTCTGTCATCCTGTTTTGTGTTCTCCCTGGTTAGTCTGTCATCCTCTTTTGTGTTCTCCCTGGTTAGTCTGTCGTCCTGTTTTGTGTTCTCCCTGGTTAGTCTGTCCTTATGTTTAGTCTACTTTTATATACCTACTCATTTTAATGTGTGATTGTACTGCTTTTTATCCTGTTGATTATTTTGTGTATGTAAACTGACTTTGGTTGTCTTGAAAAGCGCTTAAAATAAAAAATTACACAATGTATCAACATCATAGGAGTTTGTCTTCTGGAATGGAGTCTAGTTCAGAGTTTGAATATGTAATTGGCAGACTAGAAACATAATACAAACATCCCTTTTAGACCTAGCAAGTGAAGTACACATTTGTTGTTCAGCAAGCACTATTCAATGATCCACAAAATGTCGGTAACACCAAGAGGGCTTTGGAGTATAATTCTACTTGAAATCTAACCCCAGCAAATCCAAAACCCCCTGTCAAGCTACACATTATGCACAGTCAATAGGGGGAGATGGATGAGGCGAGGATTCTGTTTACTCAATCTTGTGTATGAAACTTAGATATATTACCAGTTTAATTCATTATTGTGCATATATGCATGTGCATTCAGAAGACATTCTAAAGAAACAACATGCAATTTGAACCAAGCACCACTAGATGACACTAAAGATGTTCATGATGAAATCTACAGATAACTGCCAAAATAAAGGAAACACTTGAGTAAATGAGGGATACAAAGTATATTGAAAGCAGGTGCTTCCACACAGGTGTGGTTCCTGAGTTAATCAAGCAATTAACATCCCATCATGCTTAGGGTCATGTATAAAAATGCCCAGTTGCCCATTATTTTGGCTAGCATGGCTAGAAGAAGAGATCTCAGTGACTTTGAAAGAGGGGTCTCAAAGGAGCATAGGGGGTTTACTGTGTGTGTGTGTGTGTGTGTGTGTGTGTGTGTGTGTGTGTGTGTGTGTGTGTGTGTGTGTGTGTGTGTGTGTGTGTGGTGACCAGATCTCAACCCAATTGAACACTTATGGGAGATTCTGGAGCAGAGCCTGTGACAGCGTTTTCCACCACCATCAACAAAACACCAAATTATGGAATTTCTCATGGAAGAATGGTGTCGCATCTCTCCAATAGAGTTTCAGACACTTGTAGAATCTATGCCAAGGTGCATTGAAGCTGTTCTGGCTCATCGTGGCCCAATTACCTATTGAGACACTATGTTGGTGATTCCTTTATTTTGGCAGTTAGCTATATAAACTGTACATATCCATACATATGAAATGACATCTGAAAATAATAAACTATATGTTCAATAATGCCAAAATCACAGGTTGATTCCACAGACAATACTCTCCTAATCCAAAACCCTAAAAAGTGGTGCTATGATAAGGACCTTACAGTGCAGGCCTCAACCCCTACCTGTCCTATATGATCTGTCTTGATAGTCTCCACATCAGCTAGCAGGCAAAGTCATAACATCTGATTTAAAACCTAACCCTAACCTTAACCACACTGCTAACCCGAATGCCTAACCCTAACCTTAATAAAGACCAAAAAGCAAATGTTTGTTTTCAAGCATTTTTACGATATAGCCAATTATAACTTTGCAAATCATCAAATCGTATTTGTTACATGCTTCGTAAACAACAGGTGTAGACTAACAGTGAAATGCTTACTTATGGGCCCCTCCCAACAATGCAGAGAGAAAGAAAAAATAAATAATAACACAAGGAATAAATACACAATTAGTAACAACGGCTATATACACGGGTACCAGTACCGAGTCAATGTGCAGGGGTACGAGGTAATTGAGGTAGATACAGTTGAAGTCGGAAGTTTACATACACCTTAGCCAAATACATTTAAACTCAGTTTTTCACAATTCCTGACATTTAATCCTAGTAAAAATTCCCTGTCTTAGGTCAGTTAGGATCACCACTTTATTTTAAGAATGTGAAATGTCAGAATAATAGTAGAGAGAATGATTTATTTCAGCTTTTATTTCTTTCATCACATTCCCAGTGGGTCAGAAGTTTACATACACTGAATTAGTATTTGGTAGCATTGCCTATAAATTGTTTAACTTGAGTCAAACGTTTCGGGTAGCCTTCCACAAGCTTCCCACAATAAGTTGGGTGAATTTTGGCCCATTCCTCCTGACAGAGCTGGTGTAACTGAGTCAGGTTTGTAGGCCTCCTTGCTCGCACACACTTTTTCAGTTCTGCCCACAAATGTTCTATAGGATTGAGGTCAGGGCTTTGTGATGGCCACTCCAACACCTTGACTTTGTTGTCCTTAAGCCATTTTGCCACAACTTTGGAAGTATGCTTTTGTCATTGTCCATTTGGAAGACCCATTTGCGACCAAGCTTTAACTTACTGACTGATGTGTTGAAATATTGTTTCAATATATCCACATACTTTTCCTTCCTCATGATGCCATCTATTTTGTGAAGTGCACCAGTCCCTCCTGCAGCAAAGCACCCCCACAGCATGATGCTGCCACCCCCGTGCTTCATGGTTGGGATGGTGTTCTTCGGCTTGCAAGCACCCCCTTTTTCATCCAAACATAACGATGGTCATTATGGCCAAACAGTTCTATTTTTGTTTCATCAGACCAGAGGACATTTCTCAAAAAAGTACAATCTTTGTCCCCATGTGCAATTGCAAACCGTAGTCTGGCTTTTTTATGGCGGTTTTGGAGCAGTGGCTTCTTCCTTGCTGAGCGACTTTTCAGGTTATGTTGATATAGGACTCGTTTTACTGTGGATATAGATACTTTTGTACCTGTTTCCTCCAGCATCTTCACAAGGTCCACAAGGTTGTTGTTCTGGGATTGATTTGCACTTTTCGCACCAAAGTACGTTCATCTCTAGGAGACAGATCGCGTCTCCTTCCTGAGCAGTATGACGGCTGCGTGGTCACATGGTGTTTATACTTGCGTACTATTTTTTCTACAGATGAACGTGGTACCTTCAGGCGTTTGGAAATTGCTCCCAAGGATGAACCAGACTTGTGGAGGTCTACAATTTTTTTCTGAGGTCTTGGCTGATTTCTTTTGATTTTCCCATGATGTCCAGCAAAGAGGCACTGAGTTTGAAGGTAGGCCTTGAAATACATCCACAGGTACACTTCCAACTGACTCAAATTATGTCAATTAGCCTATCAGAAGCTTCTAAAGTCATATAATTTTCCAAGCTGTTTAAAGGCACAGTCAACTTAGTGTATGTAAACTTCTGACCTACTGGAATTGTGATACAGTGAATTATAAGTGAAATAATCTGTCTGTAAACAATTGTTGGAAAAATTACTTGTGCCATGCACCGACTTGCCAAAACTATAGTTTGTTAACAAGAAATTTGTGGAGTGGTTGAAAAACGAGTTTTAATGACTCCAACCTAAGTGTATGTAAACTTCCGACTTCAACTGTATGTACATATAGGTGGGGATAAAGTGACTAGGCAACAGAATATATAATAAACAGTAATAGCAGCATGTGACGAGTCAAAAAAGTTTGTACAAAAAGGGTCAATGCAGATAGTCCGGTTTGCTATAGCGCCCCACATTGGAGGTGTCACATCTGAATTTATTGATAAAAGTCACCTTGTCCTAGAGATTAACACGGTTATCAAAACGTCATGCCAGGGTAAGCCTACACAAAATACAGCCCTTATTTTAAGTGTTTCTAAAATCCCCTAAGGGAAAAATGAATGGTGGAAAAACGATTGGAACAATTTCCTTGTTTGACCACTAGGTTTTATGGGTATTATGACTCATACTGTGGTACTCTATAGGTTAACTATTTAACTAGCTATTTAGCAGCTGGCCCATCTAGTGGAAATCGCTCAGTTCTGCCTCCAGGGCAAGATTTATGACAATAAACATCAACCTGTCATCAGCTAGCGCTTACTGCTATCTTTAAAATGGCAGTAGTACCTGGACTAGAATAAGAATCAGGTTAATATTCAAAGCCAATCTGCTCTTCCTTCACCTTGCCCTGGATAAAACAGAGCAGAGAGCTGCGGGCCACAAGGAACCACTCTTCACATCTACTCCAAGGTGACGTTTGAAAGGCCACGCTTCACTTCAGGGACACATTGTGTTATGGCATTACAGGCTAAAACAGAAAGTGTGTTTTGGCGATAAGGAACAGCACTGATCTTTAGAATCAGCCCTCCAGGCACTGAGCAGACTGAGTTCAAAGACAGGGTTCTGGGTTTCTGAAAATATCTTTAACAATAATAGTAATGCAGGTTTTCTTCCTCCCTCTCTCCCACCATGGTGCATACTGTACATTTGTATACAGGATGTATGCGTTGAGGCATACAGTAACAGTTTTAGTATGTTTGATCAGTTGATCTGCAAGGTAATATGATTTAAATCGTTTAGAGCATCAGTGTCCATACATTCACTTCTTATTCCTGCCATTTAATCAAAAATATCCTCCCAGATAGTGATAAAAACATGGTATGAAGCCTTGTCCATATGTTATGTAATTTCCTGGC